TGTTCTAAAGGAAAATCATTTAGATTTGTCATACAGGAAATTAGGATTGCTCAGTTGTGCAGAGAAAGCCAACCCAGGCCATTCTGGGATTCTGTGAAGGGAGAGACCACTGTGAATTTGCATGTATGGGTGGCTACATCCCACTGTTTATCTTTGGGGTGCCCATGGGTTTTTTAGGGTCAGTCTGTGTATTTTCCTGTTTGCTGTGCACAGAACCTGGTCCCTCTTGAGTGAGTGATTGCTGCTATGACTGATACAGGAGAGCTGTGAGAGCTCTTCTGTGACACCTAAAAGTGGATAATGGATGCTTGGGAAACTTGAGCAATCACAGACAGAGTCTTCATTAATCTTGAAGGCCTTAATTACTAGGATTAGCCAATTTTCCTGGAGTCATTAGCGTAGTTGACTATAAATTKTAAGGTTGACCCCTTTCAGCAATAGCAAGGTATGTTTTCTCACTGAAAGTTTGCTATATCCTACAATAAGGTTTACCGTGGACATAATTTCCATTTTATGTGGTATCAGGACAGGTTACTTCCCAAAAGAAAGGAGAGAATATTTTTGATGTGCCTTTAATAGGGATTGACTACTGGATAGGCACAAAGGGCTCCTCCTCTCCAACAAAWTTCCCAAATGCCCTTCTCTGGCTTGAACATAAGCACCGTAAATTGGCCATCTTAGCCTGAAAGGAATTAGTRTGACTGCTTCCAGACGTTCCATATAAATTTATGGAATGATTTAGATATCGTTTTATGGCACCTGGCAGAGCACTTGGTTCTTCTAGGATGTGTCTAGCTGWGAGCTCAGTAGACCTTTCCAAAAGATTGCAATTGCAGGAGTGCTGAGGAGAGGAAAAAGGGCTAATGAAGAGGTTTGGATTTACTTGGCCAACTTCAAGGAGGGAACCTGGAGAGAGGAGAGGATGTCCTGATGGAAGGGCTTTTGGGCTGAGGGGCTGCTGAGGCTGGAAAGGCTGGGTTATGTTTCTAGGGGACCGCAGAGAATCAGGACAATAATTCCTCTTGAAATTAAGCTTCTCCTCTGCCTYGGGGACAGACTGACAATACACCAAATAGCCACTTCTGTTCCCAGATGATGATGACAATGGTAATTTGCAGTGGAGTGTACTCTACATGTGTTGCTGTTGAGACAGACTGCAACACGAAATAACAGACACAGATAGACAGACAAATATGACTACGACAACAACAACAACTACAACTACTTTATTATGGGGCTGAGCCCCTTTTATCTATTTAGCAACAAGGGTATACTAAGTCTTCCACATTTGTGGCAAACATACATTGGCTATTAAAGCAGCTGCTTTTCTACTCATCAGCATATGATTGGTGGGTTTGCAAAAGCTGCAGTGTCAATAATGTTTTGTGTCTTTGGGCACCTGTTTTGTCGGTTCAACAGTCCATTCTCCCTTTCCCAGAGGCAGTCAAGGTCACGTTGTTTATGGTAGCATCCTCCTCCATGCAGGCTGTCAARCTCCCTTGTGTTTCCCAGGTCTCAGGCATRCACCATTATCAGCCGAATTTCAGATTCAGAACTTGTAAGGCCKCARTGCCGGCTTTCGGCCTCCACATAYGTGCTGCTCTTCAGATCGAAATCAGCAATGATACCCTTGATGCAAACTTGTCAAACACATCCTATAGCCCTGCAGTCTCCATCTCTGTAATTTGGGATTCTAACTCATAGAATAAGTCATGCTTTGAGATAGGGTGTAGTTATCCTAAATCAGAGCAGGGAGCCAGGTTTCAGGGGCCTGCCTCCACCAGGAACCTGCGCCCTAACCTTTATTTTCATCATACAGATCTTTATGAAAGACTTGACATTTCTGCTTCCTTCCTCARATATTATCCTAATGGGCTGTTTAGCAAAGCAGAAATTCCTGCTGGTTTGAAAAGCCCACACAAATGATGGTTGTTATGTGGAACAGTGCTGAGTTCAAAACTCACATGTCTGTCTGACCACGGGCAAATCCTTCTATTTCCCTTTCTCTAYTGGCAAGTCTGTAAAATTATGGAAATTGTAACAGCCCTGCACAATTCTTGAGCCATTTGTTAAGGAGGCTGCCTAAGCTGATGAACAAGTACGTTTTCTAATATTTACTGCCTGAATAAAGCAGAGATTTAGACTGACTGTTATTTTGGCCTGAAGTTTTTATGATTGTGCTCCATGCAGAAATATCCTTCACTTGATAGGGTGTCTTTTGCATTTAACTCTGCCTGCAATGAATCTTGGCCTTACACAGCCCAAAGTCAGAGCAGTGTGTGCCCTATTTAAGTAATGAGCTATTGATTTTAGAATTACTCATTTTATTACCATCATATGGAGCTGGTCATATTCCGAGGACTCRACTCTGAAATGGAAGCTGTTTAATTTTGGTTTGGGATGGGACAGAAATGGACTTCAGGGATTTTACCTTTTGAAATCTGGCAAATCACAGATGGCAGRGCCTCACATAGAGCTGTGCTTTGTACTGAAAGAGCCTGGGAAGAAATTYCTCTTGTTGCTTGAGCTCAGATCTCTGAGCAGACTCCTAATGTAATGTCACCTTCATTTGTCACTGGTTGCTGTACCCAGTGTTCAGCTGCTTAGTATTTACAACACCTCCAGGATCAAAGAGACGCTGCCAAGAAGGCTCATGGGGAGAAATTTTGACCTACTTTTACATTTGGCACYACTTTTCCTGCCAGGAGCAGGTGGACTGTGAACAGACCTTTGGTGGAGGGTTCACCCTGACTGGCACAGAGAACCCTGCAAAAAGCAGCGTTGCAAACAGTCAGAGGCTGAACTTTACCCCCTCTTCTGCCCCCTTTTCTTGGGAATGCAAAGTTTTCTGGAAGAAAGGATGTGAAGGTTGCAAGTTCAATTAATTTTTTTGTGTGCCTGTTTGTCTTACACCCTTTTGCTGCTGCTGGTTCTTGGCTCTGCAGCACTGGGGGGTGTGTGGAGAAACAATTTGCTTTCTGTGATTGCTTTAACAAGTGTAAGCTACTTGTGCCATAGGATTGTTGYGGGTTCCCTACTCCTAGGGAACATCAATGACAAGAAATGGCTGCACATCTGATTTTTCCAAGCCTTTATTTTGACTTTGTTATGATGCTGTTTGCTTTCTGACTGCRATCCTGTATTAGAAAGATGCATTTGTCAAATAACAGAGATTAGTTTGTGTGTTTTCTTACCAAAAATCATTCTATGCTTCTCCTTCCTTTCCCTCTCAGCTCTCCCTCGCATGTGAAACTAAAAACTTTGTAAAATGCTGGCAACTTGGTATCCCCACTTTCAATATCCAAACTGAAGCATAAAACGGGGTAGTTTACGGGATAAATGTATTGTACATGAGAAGAGAATCAGGGCTGTTTTTTATCTCGTTAATCTGTACATTAGGATGAAGTGAGCGTGACTTGGCAATGCCCATCCATGCCATTAGCTGGTCTGGAGGGACTGTTGGTGTCCATTTTTTCTTGGGTGTAGATCAGGTGAATTGATCCTGAGTTTTCTGGGCTGATAAATGTCTGAATTCTGTATGGGAATGAATTGACATGAGAGTGGGATTTGGGGAGGGGAGGGGGTTCTTTGAAGCTAACTCTTGCTATAATTAGGATCTYAGAAGTTGCCTTCTGAGCTCTCAGRAGYTGCCTTCTCAGCTCTATTRAGCTATTGATTGGCTACAAGGAAACTCGAAGTGGATGGGTTTTATCAATTTGACCAAGTTTTAAGAAAAAGAATGCTGTTGACTCTTCAGGGGATAAGGACAGASACCCACCTTGAAAGTGTGGTGGTGAAATGAGGGAAATAAGCCAATGCACTGGCAGGACTAGTCACCTTCTAGAACATCAGCATGTTGATGGAGAGCTGCAGTGGCCTCTGGGACTTGCAAACTCCATTCCACCCCAATTTCCCTGAGCAGTTTCTTCTTAAAAAACAGAAGTTTTTTTTTTAATTGCAAGGACAGGAAATGTCCGGATGACATTAATAGCGTGTGTAACACGAAATTAGGAGCTGCAAAAGCTGTTGGTGCTGCTGGAGCCCCTTTCTTGCCCACAAAGTCACTGCTGTGGCAGTTTTAATTCATGTGTGGTGTTAAACACTCYGCAGTTTGGAAGACAACCTGACATCACCGCTTCAGCAGCCATGGGAAGTTTCATCCCGCAGAGTTGGATRGGCACCAAAAGGATGCTCTGTGATGCACGAAAAATCTGAAGTTTGGAGGCTGTCCATTGGTGTCCTGATCTCATCATCCCTCTCTTTGTTMAGAGCTTTAAATAAAAAGGCCACACCAATTTCTCCTGATTTAGTTCCCTCCTTCCCCTGGGGATTATTAATGGCCCCGAGGCAGATCTGGGCTCTCCTTGCATTCCCTGCTCTGGGGACAGGGTTCTGTGTGGGACCAGTGGGAGCAGAAGGTGGCTAGTAAAAAATGAGGGGAAGCAAACTTGCTCAGACTACCTTCTATCTGAACTAGTTCTGGAGGTATTTTAAAACAGCATAGTTTGCAGTGCTGGCAGTTCATGAACTTAACCCCTGCAACTCGTGCTGTGGTACCTAAAAGAGCATTCCAATTTTTTTTTTTCCTCTGAGCTTATTTTTAGTAACTTCATATTTAATGAAAGATATGAAACAACTTAAAGGATTTTACAGATTGCTCCCTGTATCTGAAAGATCCCATTTTAATGTGCATTTTGTGTATTTTCTTCATCTGCCTTCCACTTTTATCTTAGCCAATGACAGTGAGATTGCCGGGGCTACTTTCTCTTTAAGGGAATACTGCTTACATAAATAGTCCTTTACACCATCTCCTTGTTTTATAATATTAATTGTTTATCAGGAGACAGGAAATATTCCTTAGAAAATGTGTTTTCCTGCTTGTGCATGCCTTGTTACTATTTCAATTATGCAGATTCTTGATGCTGTGGAAATTTGTGCTTGATGACGCCAAGGCAGCTGCACGTTGTTAGCATTGTAGGCTGTCAGATGATCATGTGGGATTCTTGCAGCATGCAACATTCAATAGGATTGAAAAAGGGCTTTTGATGCAAGGCATAGCTTTCAGAATATATTTGTGCCTTTTAGTTAGCTAATAGAAAATCATAATTTATTATCTTTAAATTTAAAATGCTGCCTCATTTTTCTTCTGGTTGGTTTCATTTTGGCTTCACTAGAAGATGCATCTGGTACATCCACGATTGAGGAGTTTATTAATGATACTGTCGTTCAGTTCACTTACTTTTTTTCCTTTTAGAGTCCTAGCTAGCCCACAGATTACATGATCACATGTTCATCCAGTCATTCATATAGAACACAAACCACCATGCATGATTTCTTCTTTCTTTTTCCTCTCTGCCTTTTTTATTCCTTTTAAGTTGCTTTGTCATGTTCTCCTTTACCATCCTGCTTAGTCTTTGTCTTCCCCTCGCTGCTATCTGTTCTATATTTTCCCATGCTTGGTTACTGCAATATTATTTGATTAACGGGCTGTGATGATGATGAACCTGCACACTGGAGGAGCAGCTACTACAGTGGTGATGAAGGGATGTAATAATGGTCGCTATCCTCGGAATTCTCTCTACAGTGACTGCATAATAGAAGAAAAGGCAGTGGTCCTGCAGAAAAAAGACAATGAAGGATTTGGATTTGTGCTCAGAGGGGCAAAAGGTATGTGCTTTTKTGTGTGTGTGCGTGTGTGTGAGTGTGTGTGTGTGATGTGCAGTGGCATGAAGAAATTTATACATCTCGGAATATAAGCAGGAATTATTCTTGGTGCACTTGGTTGCTAGACAACAGGATTCTCTGTATGCTATACTACTCCAATGGATTTCAGAGGCTTCTCTCTGAAGCAGTTTGCATTTTTACATAGGAGAAGCACTGCATAATTGTTCTGGGGGGAGAAAGTTTTGCCKGTATTTTTCTCATGCCGGTGGATGTAGTATTTTGCCATTAATCTGTTCTGTTGTGCAGTTTGCTTAACTATGGGGAGCCAGCTTTCCTCAGAAAAGCTGCTTCTTTATTTCAAAYGCCAGCCTGATTAAATAGGGCTGCGAGTAGGAACAGACAAGAGAGGGGTGTTTTGTTTAAAATAGGTGTGGACCTTGTGCAAGGTGACATTGGTGCAGTTTTAGTATGAAATTATGATCTTTTTTTATCTCTTCAGAAGCTGCATGTATGTTGCATGGCCTGTAGTGTGCTCATTTTTTAAGCTGTTCATATGTTAAGCTGCATGGTACTTTCCTGTAGGCTAAAATCTGTAACAGTGGCATTCCTAAGAGTTAAAAAAGCCATTCTATTTAATGCTTCGCTTTTTAACTTTCGGTGCAGATCGCTCCCTTTGTATTTAAAAAATATATATATATACACGATGGTATGTCCCATCTCTTGCTCCCCCTCATTTCACATGGGTTCTCCCTTGCCTTGCTTGAGCATGAAAATTATTCCATGTCTTCATTCTTGGGACATGGCTTTTGCTCTCGCTGTTCCCCACCCCTGAGCCGGTGCCACGGCGCATTTGCAGGGCTGTGAAAGCTTTGCCAGCCTGAGCCAAACGAGACGTGTGGAGTTGGAGCAGGGCAGCCAGAGGCACTGCCTTCTCTCTGAGCACTGGGGTGGCTCAGCAGTGCTCTGAGCAGGGCTCACTCCCTCGGGGTCAGCTCAACGCTTTTCCCCCACATTTTCTCTGTAGCAGAGAGGGCACCTCAGGTGAAAGACCCAAGGACTTTTGTGCCCGTGTGTGTACGTGACAGAGGGACAGACAGGGCTGTCACAGGGCCAGCTGTGCCTCCTGTCCTAAAAAGTGATTTCTTCTGGTCTCTTCTTTGTTATGCACATCTAAATTTAGGAGGAAAAAAAAAACAACCCTGTGGTTGATCTTTTCCATCCTTTGCTACCCACCCACCCCCCCTGGTTTGGCCAGATGCTCTCTCCTGGCTACAGCGCATAATTCTTTTTTGGCTGGATGTTGCCAGAGTTACAGCATTTTGCCAGGCACACAAAAGGGTTCCTTGAGCCAATAGTGAATATCCTGGAATATCAGCATCCAGCTATTGCCTGGTGCAGCTTGGTTTGGTTTGTGCCAGGAAAGGAGCAGGTATTTTCCCTCTGGAAGGAAGACCTGTGGATTGCTGTGCAGAGGGATTGCACTCTGTCCCCAGCATCCTGATCTCCTCTGAGGCACATCCCTCTCACTTCCAGCACCCACCATTTTTTAACCCTAAATTGGAATGGCCAATGATAGGCCTGTAGTCAAGTGGTATTTGCAAGCACTCCATAACGCTCTTTTTTTTAATGTGGTATTTATTTTTAAAGCTGACACACCAATTGAAGAATTCACCCCAACTCCAGCCTTTCCTGCTTTGCAGTACTTGGAATCTGTGGATGAAGGGGGAGTAGCATGGCAAGCTGGCCTGAGAACTGGAGACTTTTTGATCGAGGTAGGAGATCCTGAAATTTGATTCTCAGTGCTCTGTTGGGGAAAGAGTGATGTTCCCGTTGGAGAATTGACTCTGGAAAAAAGTGTGGGATGCCTGTGAGCAGCAAGTTCAGGGGACTAACACCAGGAATGTGTTTTACCTGATCAATTCAAAACTTCATGCAGCATCCAGGAAAGCAGGGACAGAGAACAATGGTCAGGCTGGCTGGGAATTTTCTGGTTGTTTTTTTTTTTGTCCTTTAGGAATACACTGTCAGAGATATTTGGGAGGTCATAGTCTTCTTTGAATTCTTTAAATTTAGATGAATTTCAATTTTACTCTAGGTTATCAGTTCTGGTTTCTTCTAAATATTCTYAAGGAGTAACCAAAGTTAATGACTTTTTAGGCAACTATTTCTGCACTCAGAAATATCCGTGGTCTGGTGGTGTTTAGTAACCATGGAGAATAAAGCAAATTACTTTGGCTTGGAATTGAATTTTTCCAACACTGCACTGTAAATACCAAAAAAAAAAAAAATAAAAAGCAATGGATGTTATTGCAGTATAAATTGCTTTACAAAAAGGGTATATTTAAATATTTTCTTCATTCATGCCAAAAACATCTTCATGTTTGATATTTTGGAGGATTTTTTGTTGGTATTTTAGGTTTTGTTTAAATAGTTGGTTCTCCTTTTGACTGTTGCTGGGCAGTTTGCAGCAAAATCATGATTTGGGATTTTTCTTCCTCTTCCCCCCATAACCTTTTCATGACCAACAAAGGGATGCTGTGCTTCTGTGAAACTGCCTATTGAAAATAGGTTTTTTGGGCTGGATTGATCAAGCCTTGCCTGTAAGATCTATTGATTTGACATTATTTGATKTGTGCTTCTTCAGGCTCATGTAGGGTTTGGTAAAATCTTTCCTGGTGTTAAAACGTTGATTTCTGCAGAGCTGGCTTTTGCATTCGGTGGAGGGTACAACATGCAGCTTTTTTTGGAGTGTGCCTTGAACTCCCATGGTGATTGAATTTAAATAGTTGCACCACTTCCTCACGCTGTAGCAGTGAGAGAACAGGCTTTGCAGGCTTCCAAAGTAAATAGATGTGCATTTTTATCTCTATCTTTGAGCACAGTTCCCTTGCTATTTGTTTACTTAAGAATAAGGCTTTAGCAGAGTGTTAAAGACCAGCTTACAAATGGAACTGCCGCCTTCCCCAGGCAGGGATCCTTCCAAAACTCCCCCTRTTCCTCTCAGGTGGGGTTTTGGAACAAGGCTGGATTTTTAGGGGTTGGTTTCTTGTTAGGCTTTTAATCCACAGGAAGGATGAGGAGTCTGTGCTGGCAGATTGCACAGATAGAATTGCTGTTGAACAAAAATGTGCAATTTAATTCATTAAGGAATGACAAATATGCCCCCAGATTTTTTAGTATCTCTGAAGGGATGGAAGAAGCCTGGCTAACTGATTCTGCACAAAGCTCTACTGTTTTTCTGGCAAATGAGGGAAGAATTAGAATTAATTGTCGAGACAATTTACTCCTAGCCTTAGCTTAAAAGAGCAGCTAAACATGCACATGCACTGCTGAATCAGGAGGACGTTAATCCAYACTCCAGCATATTTGTAATTAATTCTGAAAGAAGCCATTATTACATGCAAATCAAATCCATTTCTGTGTAATTTATGTTCATCGGGGTTATTCCATTCTGAATTTTGCAACTTAATTAAGAGGGTATGATAATCCTGAGAAATGACAACTTGGCTGTGGCAGGAGAGTTTTCTGTAGGAGAAAGGCAGGGTTTTGTTTCATTTTATGACCAACAGGCAGTGCACAGCCCTGGCTGGCCAGAGAAAGCCATCTTTAAAGATATTTACACAGATGCAAAAGACTGATGAAATCAAAGTCCACCTGCACTTCTCAGAATGCTGGACTACTTTATTTTTTGTGCTGAACAAGAAGATTTAGATTTACCAGGCAGCAAGTGGTTGTCAGCCCTGGTGTTGTCAGTCTGCCTTACTGCTGAATTATTTCTCCCATGGCTCTGAAGTTTATGCCTCTGTGTGTAAGTGCCACCTCAACCCTTTGTAAGTAATATGAGGCATTTATTATAAATGTCACATGGATAATAAGAGAGTTAATGGGCAACCAAGAGCCTAATTAGTGCCATTTATAACATTGTGGCAGGCCATGGGCRTTAGGGAAGGGAGAGCCCAGTTTGGTGGGGGGCACAATGAGAGGCAGAGCAGATGTTTCAGGAGGGTTGGTGGCTTGGGGTGATGGAGATGAGGGGAACCTCACTCCTTTGACAGGGAGATAGATCCTTCCTTTGGGGAGCACGAGGGTTAGGAAAAGACAAASCATCATTTCTTCATGTACAGTTAAAGTCTGGAATCTTCTGAAGGGAGTAAAACTTCCATCTCAGATATGAAGCTTTATAATAATTCCAGTTTGGAGTTGCTGCGTGTTGAGCAGGAGAAATAAAAGATATGTACAAAACAGGAAGAAAAGGTGCTGTGTTGCTCCAACAGGTAGATGGAGTAGGGATCACCTGGAGCAGCTGGCACCGTATCGTGTGGCTGAGTTTTTATCAAGTGTGCAGTTACTGATTTGTCCAACCTGTACAACTAATTTTAACATAAGGCTTCAGAGAGGAACATTCTGCTTGCCCTTGGAAACTGTGCTCGCAGAGTCTCCATGGAAATTTCTGACAGTGTGTGGTTTTTCTCCTCCTCGCTTCCARCCCAGCCGTGGTTTTTGTGATAAAAATTGTAAAGTGTGTAGTGACTTTCCTGGGTAAAACACAGGGCAAATGTACTGGAAAAGTGCAGGAGTAGTTTTAGAGCTGAAGGAGTGAGGTGGGGACAGCTGTCAATAGCAGTGGATTTTCCTAAGCAATTCAACAGATGCCAATCGTGATTTTTTTCTTAGCTTTGATGAACAATCAGAAAGGGAGGATGGTTATGATTTGGTTGTTAGARCTGAGATTGTACAGCTTGGCCTATTTGTTATTTTTCTCTACTTTAGCTGATGTTTCCTTGAATCTTGATATCAGCCTGATTGTAAAGATGGAGAAAAGTAAAACATTAGGCCAAGTGCTGAMAATTGCAGTTTCTCTTAGAAAGGGATTAAAAATACAGCCACCACTAATTCCTTTGTAGGTCATTGATAACTCATGACTGGATCTCTATACTATAACTGTTCAGGTTTGTAACAATTCAAGTTCTACCTTGAAACATGACTTCAAGAATTCTTGAAGGTGGGGTTGTGTCAGAGATTTGCTTTGACGACAGAAACAAGTTCAACCATCTTTGAGGAAAGAAATCCATTGAACTGGAAGGCCTCTTTRAGCTCAGAACAGGAGTTTTTGGAGGATTTAGTATGGTAGGATATAGATTGTCTTCCCAAGTGAACCCCCAGTGGGTTATTAACAATGGGTTCTCATTGTCCCCATGAGGGTGCAGCTGTTCTGCAGGTGTTCCCCRATGTGGCACTTGGGGATTTTTCCTGTCACACAAACAATAATGTTACAAAACCAATACTMAGACAGCCAAGTTAATTCTGTAATATTTTACCAGAACAATGCATTTGTTCTCTAAATGAGGCATTGCAGTTTGCATTATTGTGCCATAAAATCTCTTCTTTTTCCAGATAAATTGAAATGTTATTGTCTTTGGAATAGCATGGCTGCTTATTTACATTCCAGTTAAAATGTAAACTAGGTAAACCTGGTGAATTATTCATTTAAAAAATAAAAACAAAAGGGGAAAATTCAAGGATCAAAACCAGACATAGTAATAGAAGAAATTCCATCATTTTGCTGCAGAACTTTTCAGCTGCTACTTGTACTAAAGCATACAAAATGGTCTTTATTATAACTGCCTGTATTTCTATATCTTCAAAAGCTTATACAATTTAATAKTACAAACTTTTCATTAACTGGTTTTGAGTGGAAAAGAAATATTTTATTACAGACAGCATCATTTTATTGTTGTATTCAAGATATCTGTCCTGTGACTGCATGTAAAAAGTAGCAATAAGCATTTAGGGAGACATTTAAAATAACTGAAATATTTAAAGAAAAACAAAAAAAACCCACCTTCATACACAAATAACTTCATATTTAGCAATAGGTTACTAGTTGTATTCCAGTAAGAGCTCTATGCAGACTTCAAAACTGCTGTGGGAAGCAGACTTTGAACTTTATTGTTGTAACTTAGACTCTGGTAATTGCGAATATTTTTAGCAATGTTCTGCCTTACATGGGTATTCCAAGGCTGGGTGAATTAGTGGTTTTACAAAGCCAGCTATTACTGATTTCAATCTTTTTAGCAACGGAGAAACCTCCCCATCCTCAGATAATCTTCATTAATTACCCTGTGGCTGTGTTTTCTCTTATTTCTTGTGTGAACTTTGCTCTTTTCTACCACCAGATAGAATTTATTTTTTTTTTCAGGCAGGCTCATGGGGAATGGGGTATTTTTTTCTTTCTTGGAAATAAGTGGATGCTTTGTTAATGGTTTTTTATTAGCAGGAATTCTCACATTGTAGCTGGAAGTTTGCTCGCAGGAGTGTGGACAGCAGCTCCATGCAGTGCTTAGTAAGAGTGCTGTGTGTAGGAGGGAGGAAGCAAACCCAGCATTATCAGTGCATTTCTGAGGGCTGGATTAAGCTCTCACACTCAGACCTTTTGTGGGCACCAGCAGGGTCAGATCCCTGTTAGTTCAGTGTCTTTCTTGCAGGAGGGTTYTTTGTTGGCAGCTTGGCTGCTSYTCCTGCCYGGCCAGGGAGCCTCCCTTTTGGCAGGAGAGCAGCCAGGCTGGGAGCTGCTCTGTTCCTAGACAGCACCTACTGTGGCGTTTGGATCAGCTCTGCAAACGTCTTTTTAATGAGGAGAACCTTGCCAAAGCTGCAGCAGCACTGCAGAGTTTGAGCTGCTACAGAGAGAGTCCCTGGYCCTGGCAGGGGCTTGGAACTGGATGGTCTTTGGGTCCTTCCAACCCTGCCCATCCTGGGATTCTTTATTTTT